AGACCACTGAATGCACTGACAGTCCCTTATGGTGTGTCTCTCGTCAAAGCATAAAGCCTCCGACCTCAATCGTACAATTTGATCACAGACTCAACGATTTGTAAAGCGAATGAATACCTTACACTATGAGATCTTACTTGAAAGGAGGGTAAGGGTTGCTAGGTCCAGACCATATGGAAGTAAACCTCCGGCTGAGAAGGGCGAGAGTACCCCTGGCGATCTGATTGCCTCTTTAAATATAAGCATTCAGGATTTCAGCAGCCACTGCTGAATTTACGGATGCGGTGAATCCCAAGGAGAGTCAAGCCTAGACCAAGCTGGAAACTCCCCTGGTCTGTTGAAGGGGAGGAGCGGGAATCGAGACATTAAAGCCTGCTTCGGAGGTCACCAACGTTCTGAACTCACGGAGCTTGGGCAGTTCCCCTTCAAGGGCCTTAGGTTTCCCGAAGCTCTTCAAGAAGCCTCAGACTTTTTCAGCCGGTTCTTAGCTGGCCAGTCACTCTAGATACTGGCTTTCCAGGAGGTTGTAGAAAACGTTCTCTGTTGGTATTCGGAAGGGTCATTTGACGATTTGCATCAGCATCGAGGGCTTTGACACTATCTCAAGGTCTGTTTGTGGTTCCCCATAAATTGATACAGTAGCACAGCACATCTCATTTTTGATCTCATTCTCTGCGCCGTTCTCTGCACTCGATGTCCCTCTAGCATTCTCTCAAATCTCGGCAGCTTCCAACTTAACAAGATTCCACCGCACTATTCAAGGAATTGCCCCTAGCTAACGCCAGCAATGCGCACTCACTCGTTTCGATTCACGGTCTTTCTTTCCCGGATATTGATGCCAACGCATGCGACCCGTTGAGGCACTCGTCCCCGGCCCGGTAGTGGGTTCCTGAGCCCTCGAGCCCGCTCTGGAGAGCGTCCACATCCACAAATGCGGACACCAACCCGGTCGGTTAGCTCAGTTGGTTAGAGCGTGGTACTAATATGTTATCTGACATGTTCAGTAATGCCAAGGTCGGGAGTTCAAGCCTCCCACTGATCATCCTCTTTTGCCTTGTAAGCTTAATAGTACACCTATTTTTGCCCTTCTGCAGGTTGCATTCGACATGAGGGAACGTTCCTTTACTAAGACCACATTTTACTTGACTGAATAAGATCACTAGGTAGTGAGTCATAGTAAGATATTCACTTACCTATGCAATATATATGACAGGGCGTAGAAGTCTAGAATGTCAGTGCTGTTGCTTGTCTCGTTCTTTGGTGCCCATCTCTCTCATAGTGATAGCAAGCAATCAACCTCCCCGGCCTCAAGCTATTTATTGATCCTACGTTAAGGCCCGAAAGAGAGAAGCATCTTGCTGGGGTCCGGCGTTTAGCAGATCATAATGACCTGAAGTGCCCAAATGGAACTCATGTCAAGTCATTCGTGTTGCCGTCACTGATATTGATAGAAAAGTCTCCAAGTTGGTTGGCAATCTGAACCTCAAACGCACGTAAGACCAAACGTGTTACTCAACACCACATACTCAATCAGTCCCGGTCTTCTTGTCGATTGAACGACCAGACATGATGGCAGGGAAGTTAAATATGAGCTCGACTAGCATGCAATACAGATCTGCCGATTAAGTACGACCATAGTGATGAGGTAGCTTGCCATACGCAAGATCCAGCCATCAATATACAGACTGAAAGAAAGAAACTGTTGCGGGTGCCTCTCCATGGTTGACCAAGCTAGGACCGCACTCGTCATTGAAGATGAAGTCATGTTGTTTGTGTATTACACTCGCAATTCCGCGTGGTGCCATGGTGCTGGGCACTGTCTTACCTGAGGTGTAAATTGAAACTTGTATTGGACACATACGAAAGCCTGGCGAATAGACCGGACCAACTCGAGGGTAGATTGACCTCTCATATGAACGTCCAAGGAGCACACGTTGTTGTGTCGATGGCGATCTCTTCACTGTGATCCCATGATAGACGATATGCGCCGCGTGAGAATTCATCAGTACAGCTTCCGGTTGCTTTCAGGATGAGATCTATTTCTCATGACCAATCAACATAGCTTATTCTGTTGATGTATCTCCGCATGTGAGTATCTGCCTGTTGCATATCGCCTTGGTTATTACTAGTGCTTAGAATGGCATTCTGCTGCCCCGGCCTCACGGAGAAACTTGGAAAAGGGCACCACGCATATCGAGGAGCGATGGCATGTGTCATGGAGTCCCGATCAAATAAAAGGAGCACTGGTCACATGACTGTGACGACTGAGAATAAAGACACGGCCTGATATCCAAACCGGCACACTGACGTCGTCCACGATGAACAGCAACATCTTTTCTCATACGAGACTAACAGCAATGCGAGCACGTTAGACGCGTGTGCAATCCCGATCTTGTCTAGGAACGCCAAACTTCACTCAATGACTCCAAATGAGGCATTGAGCTTGTAAGCTGGCTTCAAACGAAGCCATCATGATGCGGATTCCTCACATAGCTTACTAGTCATTGCTCAACATCGTTACGTCATAGGTACCATCACAACACCCCTCAAGAAGCCTCACAGGCAAGAGGTCATTCTATGAGCCCGGCCCCGTAAACGACCGTCGTTGCAAAGCACTCAAACAACAATCGCCATTCCAGATGCGAACATACCATGGCACCACCAGCACACAACCCCATCCCTGACGATCGCCAGCTACTTCCTCACGCCAACGGCTTGATACCAACCCAAACCTGCAACCAACACCACAAGCCGCCTGAAACCACGCGGCGCCCCTGCACGTAGCATATCACACAGCAGCAAACCGACCTGAGCCCAACGGCCTCTTCCCCCCGGCGCCACAATGCAGCCAAAGTCAGGAAACGGGACCCCAGGACGCAACCCTCTCGCGATGGTCCCGCCCCGAAAGCCTCCTGCGGGATCTGGGACGGAAGACCGGCGCGGTCCCGAACTTGGACAGCCAACTAGGCGAGGCTTAGGGGGCAAGAGGCAGAAAAAAAAAAAAAAAAAAAAAAAAAAAAAGCAAAGTTTGCTTCTCGGCAGGAGTTTCAACACTGCAAGTCATCCACCAAACGTCCCTCTAAAACAAGCCACGCCGATTTAGAACGGACGTGTTCCTGGAGGGAAAGCTCTCCGGGCGATCCAATCCGAACCTCCGGCCGCCAACGCCGCTCCGGTAGTCAAACTCACTAAAGCACACACGCTCTGAGTAGGGCTCTCTCACACATCTGCGCCAAACTGGCGCGCGCCCGTCAGCAGCAACTAACTGGACAGCGCCGTTCTCCGGGGAAGCGCAATCGCGCACCCCCCAAGGCGTCTTACCGCTGATTCCAGCCGCGGCATTACAAATTCCAGACTCAGCCGGAACGCGAGCCCGCTCGCGCCCGCAGGAGAGCCCAGCCCACACGCGAGCGGAGACGGAGGAGGAGGGGAGGCGGGATGTCATCGTCGTCGTAGTCGGTCGGAGCAAACACCCTCGCTTGAGAGGCCTGGTGGCGTGGCATCGGGGCACGTGCTCTGGGCTGACAAGAAGCTTGCGATGGACTGACAGCAAGCGTTCAAGTTCAACAACTTGCTAGTCTGGCGAACAGACTCACTGTGGGCGATCCGCCGTCTGGACCCTCAAAGTTGCCCCCATCCCCTCGAGGATCCCCTGGCTTGTCAACATCGCGACAGTGCCATCCGGCATGGTGACACGGACGCTTCGTCGAGTCAAGCAGGGCCACGACGGCTTTGACTTGTGCGGATCGGATCCCCGAGCGCGCTGCCATCTGTCAAACCCCTCTTTCTTGATTGACTCTAAAGAGGTCAAAGCAACTGCGAGACATTCTGAGCGAGAAAAGAAACGACAGACACACACATCACTGGGGGGTATTGGAAAAAAAAAATACCAAAAAAGTCGGTGTCATGGACGAACCGTCTCGCTAGAAAGAGCAGTCGCGAGAGTGCATGGGACGCCGTGCCGGGCGGAAGAGGTGTATGTGTGTGTGACCTGTCGGCGACCGAGGCCCGGAGAAGCAATGGGTTGCTGCACCCTGAGGATATCGGTCGGACTCGCTGCGATGCCTTCGCGGTCGACTCATCATGCGGAACTTCTTTCCCGCATCCGGTTCTCCATTCCGCATTTCATGCGTGGATCAAGTGATCAAAGTCGAGGTAGCAGCCAGACTGGCCAGATGCCACCCATGGGGCAATGGCTAACTGGGCCGGCAGAAAGGAAGACCGCCATTTTGCAAAGGAAAAGATCGACGAGAGCAGTCGGTGAACGCGTCGGCAGTCGAATTTTGATATTCAGAGGCTAGAACCTCTTCAAGGATAGGTTTGGCAGACAAATGTTCTTTTCTTCCCCGGGGTCAGTAGCGTGTAACACAAGGCTAATCCGCATGAACAAGCCCCCATCGCTGTTGACAGAGCCCCATCTGGATCTTCAATTAGACGCTGAAGATCACAATTTCGACCTGGGAATATGCCATCAGAGGCAGCCGCTAGCAGCCCAATCAACCCCGAACTCAAGTTAGGCGTTGCAGAGACATCGTCAACGTGGTCAGGTTCAGGGTCTTTTTGGGGGCCTCTTCTGAAGATTGATTATCGGGCAATTAAGTCATCGGCGAGGTCATCGTCACTGGATCCGACGGGGATCCGGTGGATGTGGTTGATCTTCGCGCGGCAGCAATCATCTGCTGCTAGGCCAGTAGCCTTGAATGGCACGGGCAGTAGTACCCTCCTCGCCGTGAAACTTTCACTACCTCAGGTGTACTGCGTAAGAGGTATTCGTACCTTGCAAGTTGCAAGCCATCTCCCAAGCCCCCACCCTCATCGGTCCCTGATTATCACGAGCTTGTGGCGACGACGCGATGTTGTTGACTCGCCGCGGTGTACATCAGATCAGATACCGAGGGCTGCTTGCGTTGCGTTATTCGTTACGCCCATGTTTGCCAGGCGGTCGACCGACACCAGCAAATGTAACGCAGACGCAGCCCACAGTTCCGTCCAAGCCCGCCCTAAGCCCCGGTTCGAGACACCGATGAACCCCGGGTGCCGGAGAGGCAGCCGGTTTGCTGAAAAGCAACTGAAGCCCACAACCAGTCCGCGGTGGACTCGACCTGTCACTTGTCGTTCTTAGCGAATCTCTAACCAGAGATACAGCGGCGCGAGCCCACTCGCCCACTCACCCAGACAGACATTGAGACACGCCGTTTTCCGACCGTCAATGGTAACCACCGCCGGCGAGGTTGGATGCAGGTGCTCTGCCGGACCCCAATGCGCCTGCTAGTGCGCACATGTTTGTAACTGCAACCTGCAAGTGAGCCAGCTTTCCCACAGCAGTGTCGCTCGAATGGATACCAAACTACCACACCACTGCACTGCAGGTCTGAGAAATGTGACCGATGCACCCCTTCGTCTTCCATCACTCGGCATGGCGTGGTCCAGGTTTTCCAAGTTTGCTTCTCAGCTCAGTCCATCGTATCGCTCCGGCGTCTTTGGATGTAGCAATTGAAACAAAAATCTTTTCTGACGCGGGCTGACAGTATCGCTCATTTCTAATTGGTGTCCTCGGCCTGCGGTTTTCCAATGTGCCGTGCGGTGGCAGTAAGTTTCCGTAGTGGTTGCCCGCCGTTGTTCATTCAGGTAGATAAAGCTCGTATTGTTGTCGGACGTCTTCCTGAATCCTGCATCAACTGGCCGTGAGCTGCGCAAAGTAGAGACGTCTCTCTGTCGGTACGAGGTTTTGATCTATTGACCGTGGAGCCACTAGCTCATCAGTCGCGCAACCGGCACACGCTAGCTCTGCTGGAAAGGTTTCCCGTCTTCTCGTCGCCTCGATACACCGGCTTCTTGTCCGTTTACAGGAAGAATATGGTCGTATGAGTCGGTCATCTCCAGCTGTCCGTCAGTCGGTTCGATGACAAAGACTGAGGTGGGATTTTTGGAACACCCAATTTCCCGTTCCCCACGCCAATCACTTCTAGAAGGTTGACGAACGCCGGTAGTTAGAGACATGGAAATGACATTATCTCCCATCCGTGGACCCCGTGGCAGTGGAAGTGATCCTGCCACAGATATTGGGCCTATCGCGCTTGGCAATGAACTACTCGCGAACCAGTGGCGGGACGAACGGGAGGCCGTTCAGGACCCCGGCCTTCTCGACACCCACGTTGCTATCTGTGTCATCGTCAATGGGTCGTGCCGATGGCGAGCTCCGGCTCGTGAGATTCGTGAGCACTCTAATAGGGCGACAAGGCAGCCTCGCAACTCCACCGAGCCGAGTTACGATATGGTAACACTGCGACCGGGTCGAAGAAGGCGATTGAGTCTGCCGAGATTGGGACGCGGTTTGGTCGTGGTTCGATCGACAATAGTTGTTTTCATGAATAACGTGACCAATGTTTCTGCTGGCCGCGATGTTCCCGAGGATCACGTACTCGAAACAACTTCGAACGGCTGTCGTCGAAGAACCTCGGCGTGACTTCCGTATCCTGATGTTATAGGTCTGTCCGTTAATATCGACCGCAGCTCTCACGTTCCGAGCAGTCTGAGACATCGTCCAAGGTGACGAAGCCATTCTTTCTAGAAGAATGGAAGGACGCAACAACGGCCCCATACTCTGGGGTTACTGCTTCATCATTCATGCCGCCCCGTCCATCTGCTTCACGTTTCCCAATGTTTCCAAAAGTCCGCACGAAGCGATGCGTCATGATAACGACGGTGGCCTAAAAAGGCAACTCGATCATCCTCGACACTATGCGGGATGCGTTATGATGGAGCCCACATGTCGGAGCATGCAGGCCCTGAAACCTTCTCGAAGGTCTTGGTGCCTTTGGAGGCCCACGAACTAAGGACCGCGGGAATGCCCATTGGTCGTTGCGGAGCCGACCCTGGCTTGACCGGTCTGACGGGGTCCCCCCTGGCTATAAGATGGATGCCCCCACTGGGAAGCCTCAGAATGACAGCTTCCAAAGATTAACCGAATCCTCAGAAGCGTGTGGGCTCTTGAGAACAGAGCAATGCATTGGGTGACCCGGCGAGCTATTGCTGTCTGTAACGCCACGTGCCCACAGAAAGAGAGAACATCGTGTTTTGGTATCTCTCGCTCGGGCTGCCCAGCCTCGTGATCTCCAACGTCGTGTTCGATGAATATTTCGGCAAGTCATACCCTGCCACTGTTGCACGAGTATAGACAAGTGGGCAGCCAATGTGAAATAGTAGCAGAATGCCTGGCTCGGATCCCGCTACAACGAGACGTTGGCGACGGTTGGTGTTTGCTTTTTACCGTTGCGTTGGCCAGGCCTCAAGTCCCAGACGGGAGCCAGTTCATTCCGGAGGATTTTCCACGCCAAGCGAAGCCCCTTGCAACACGTTGTCCGCAACCGGACCGTTAACCCCAGCAGTTATCAACAGTTGGATAATGGTTGGCGATGGCGGGAAATCTGTCCATCGGGCTCTTGGATGGTCGGGGTTGTTCGGGACAGGCTAAATGACGGCCCCAGGCTCCAGAGCATCTCGGGCCTGTTGGAGGTCCCTTTGGTGATCTTCTGGATTCCTGCCTGGTTGCGGCGAAGACCCTTGTGACCGAGCAATACAAAGATGGTGTGGTTGCTTTACTTAAATTTCAGGCAGGCTTTGCCAGATTTGCCCAAAATCCGGGGCAGCAAGGTCGGAATAAGAGCCGTTTTTGGGCCCGGTCGCCGTTGGCTGTCTCGGTGGCATTGGCTTGGGCCGGGACCCCACGGCTACCTACCCGGGCCGTTCAGAGTACCATGTTCATTTACCAGGCTCCCAGGTCGTTGCAGTTGACTCGGAGAAGGGGACTTCCCAGACGTTCCAGAGGGAAAAGAAGGGCCCGCGGGTACAATTGGGAACTTCATGAGCATCAAACGACGGATCGCCGGGGACTCCCTGATAGAACAGTGAGCAGATCTGCTGAGTTGTCGTCCTTGATGGTTGATATTGCGCCATCCAAGGCATTTTAATGGCTCTCTGTGGATTTCTCTTAGGAAGCCGCTTGCGGAGATTTCCAACGGGCGATTGACGATGGTTGGACAGGTTCACTGGCGATCTGCCATGGACCGTGGGCTCATGAGGTGGGTTGAGGCGTCTTGCACGGTCAAGACAATGTTTGCTCACACTCGCAACCACAATTTGTTGTCGAAGCATCTCCTTCCAGACCGCCTTCAGTCGCCGTTCAATAAGTCTGGGGTGGCTGTCGGAAAACTTTGCACATGGGTGCTGGCATCCACCCAAGAGTCGGGGATGTTGGATGAAGCCGCTGTTTTGGGCTTAAGGTGTTCCGGTGTATTGGATCGTGTCACTGTTTGCTCTTGTCTGATCCATTTCCCAGGAACGGCCCAACCACTCCAACGGTGGCGAGGGGATTCGTGAGCCAGGCACTTGGCTCTGGCCCGTGGAATCCGCTGAGATAACACCCGGTCGGCAGCCTGGGGCCCTGGCAGCTTGACAGGCCCGGGCTACGACTCTGGCCTGGTCCAGAAAAGGTCAACAAGCATGCGGTCAGACCCCGGCCCTGACAACTTCAGTTGAACTCAAGTCCACAAAGGTTGCTAGCGGGCAATCGTTCTCCATGCCATCCCATGTCGGCTGCATGAGCTGACTTCTTATTCGACTGGAATTCCCACAATCCGCACGCCGCTTTTCTTGTAGGGCTCTAGGTGAATCCCAAGCGTTGCGATGCCGGTTCCGCGAAGTCTAGGTGGCAGTTTGGACCCCACTACAATCCCTGGTTCGACCGAGAATACCATGCCGTGGTATTCGTACTGGTTGCAACGGATTGCGGGCCTTCGTTACTGATCTTTTTGATGGCTGATAACACTTTGGCAAAGTCCTCTCACCCGCCTGCCTGCTAGGAATAGCCATCCCACACGAAAGATGCACGGCGTGGGTTGTCAAGCAGTGCCGTACCGCAGCACCCCAGTAGCTCGGGCCCGCCAGTTCATACTGCTGACGACGTCAATCGGCATGTACCCCAAAGCTAAGGATACAGAGCTGAGGTACAGACTGTGACACCAGCTGGGAAGAAAGAGCAAGGCGATCAGACGTATGAGACAGGACGGGCGTCGTCGCGAAGAGACAAGCTATTGCAATATGTCTGATGTCGGGGAAATATGCATAAGTGCGTGCAATCCGTTGAGAGTTGGGACGAAAGAAAGGCAGTTGACGAAAGAAACGACAAAACATTTGGAAATTGTGGGATTTCCGCCGTACCTGCATACGGTTGTGCAACTGTTCGTCTGTTCCTGCATATGTACGAGGGTACATTGGGCCAACTGCAGCGTCGAGGTACGGTGACGGAACGTACAGTATGCAAGGCACGCCGTGTCGTGGAGATGCTCAGAGCAGTAGGTAAGGTACTTTCTGGCTAGAGGTACATGGCGCCATCCTTCGCCGTGTTCCAGCGGCCAGCCCCAGGTGGACAAGCAGAGACACCAGTCGGATGGAAGGCCTGGGGTGGATGCGTGGCCGCATTAATGGAGGCAAATTGTTGATTGGACCACCGCCCGGGGGTTCCAAAGGTGAGGAGGCTGGGATCCCATGTAGAATCTCGCCGGAACCTTCCCAGCTCCAAGGTCCAGTGGTTGAACGTCGGCGGACGATCAGCGTGGTCGAGACGGATCATGATAAGCTGCCCCATTGGGAACCTTCAGCCGTTGGTACATGCGAGTTATGCAACGTAATGCTGAGCACAGCCCGCATTTCACACCGAGTTGCACCGGAAGATGTGCTGAGAGCGTATAGTGTCCCCGCTGTGAGGGGAGCCTGGGCCACACCCATGGACACAGAGAGGGACGAGCCATGCGATAGTGACGAGATGATAAGGCCAGAGTCAAGTCGAGTCGGTTGTCAATGGTGCAAGCCGCGGGATCGAGCCGGTTTGTGCCCGCTTTGTGCTGCGGCGGCGCAGCTGTTTGACCCATTGTGCGTGCGTCCTCCGTCCATCGGCCAGTCGCAGCTGGATGGAGCAAACACTGGAACTAATGCACAATCGATGCCATAGGCACTCTGGTGTAATTTTATGCAGAGAGCTAACGTCTCATCTAGAGGAATTAGTTGGCGGAAGGCCGTCCGATATGGCCTGGGGCGGCTCAAAGCTGAGAACCAAGAGCGATAATGAAAGAATTTGTCGCCAACGCGATTAAGCCCATATTGGTAGGGCGCTGCCGGAAGTCAATGGTGCAATTACAGGCTGGACCTGTGGTTAGGGCCAAGCCCGACAATTGGCGATGTTGGGTTGAGAGCGTTGATAGCGTGGGCGGGCTTTACGCGACGGACGTGGCAGCGTGTTCAGTGCCTAGTGTGGTTGTCGCGACTGAAGCTGTCGTTCTTCCTGCAGGCCAATAGGAAGCAGTCCGTAACTTCAGCCCAAGGGACGTGGCGATTTGAGTTCTTTGCTCAG